CATATTTACCTTGTGGATAGCGCTAACTAATAGTTATTTTCGGTCTATCCGTAACTATCGGTTTGGGGATCGGGTTAAATATTTACCTCGTTGATAAACTTGGTTGAAGGTATTTTTAACCAGATGGCGTAACATAAATCTAACCTAAATCATAATAAACGCTTACGTTCGCTCAATACTCCATAATAGTGATTAAAACGGTGTTATTGTGCGATAGAATAAAAAATCTTGGATTTCGAAAAGTTTGAAATTGATGAGCAAGAAATCTTGGAGAAAATTAATTATCTATTTCCTATTCGGTGTGGACGCGTAATAAAAGACAGAATAGACCATCATCAAACTGATGAATTTATTAAAAGATTTGGATTATCAAAGGAATGTGTGTTTTCACCACATTTTAGCACAAATTGATAATGACATCAACGAACGAACGAGGAAGTATTATATATGTATAGCACCTAGTTTTTATCAGTAGAAGAATTAATAATTAATTTTTTTAGAAATTCTGCAATCCCTGTTTCAAATAGATTGTTGCTTACTTTAAGATTTTTTGCTACAGGCAACATGTTATTGGATGTAGCTGACTTTTATGGAACCAGCGAATCATTAGCTTCACGTCAATAATAGAAGATTAGTACTAGTTATCAATTATTTTCGGAACTTATAAAAATAAACGTTATAATTATAAAAAATAATAAAAGAAAACGTTATTTACAATAAATATGTACATTATTATTATTTAAATATCGTCAATAAGTATTTAAAAAATAGATTAACTGTCTTTTTCTTTTCTTAATTTTTTTATCCCCACTTCTTTTTTCAATTTTATCACTTCCATCTCTTTCCTTCTCATTTTCTAACATTAATGTTGTTAACTCTAATCTTTTCTTTAATAACTCATTATAGGTATCCTGCGCAGTTTTATTGGACACTACACCATATAAAGCAGATCAATTTTTTATAAATACATAGTAGGTTAGTTAGTATTTTGATTGTACTTTTACTTTTCCTTGTTGTTTGCAAAACCCAAACGTTATTTTCCCTATTTTTATTTTCGAGGACATTTTTATGATCCGCCACCAAGTCAAGTAAAAGTGTTATTTCTTCAGGTTAAAAATTTGCCCCCTGCATACGCTTTTCGACCTGATTTGCAGTTTTTATTTTTTTCGTGATCGTTAATTACCACTAACAGAACTGATAGGTTTATGAGAATTACTCAAGAATTTAAAACGATCTATTCTGGGTGAACGGTCAAATAAGCACATTAACAACTTTTTACAATTTGCTAATATATTTTGGTTGTCGAATTACAACCTTCATCAGAGCGAATTACATTTGCTGTTAAAGAAAAAAAAATTTTCTTAAAATGGTAGAAGTTTTACAAAATAAGTTGAAAAACTTACTTGTTTATGAAGTGGATAAACCAAAAACGTTATTGAACACATTACATAGAAATTATTGCGGTTAATTAAATTAAAATGTGGAATTAAAAGTTAACATCATTGAGACGAACGAGTTACACGTTAAAATTTTACTTTCGTTTTTTCTTTTTTAGATTCTGAAATTCTAGTTTTATTTGAACAAAACTGGAACAATACGCCCAGCNACAACGTCAAATAGTAAACCCTGCTCTCTCGAAGGAAAGCTGAAGGGTTTCGCTTTAGTGACATTAGCAAACGTCTGACTATTGGAAGCAGAAGAATTGTTTGTAGTAACAGTAGTAGAATTGTTTAAATCAATGTCCCGAGGAGAGCCTTCCGCAACGAAAGCACCCTGAGAAACAATAGTAACGGGGTCCATAGTGTCGCTCCTACGCGATAAACACTACTAACAATAAGAAAGGAAGACAGGTCGGCGCAGAGTGAAACACCCCACCCCGGGTGTTTGGTTTGATGTGAACCAGACCGGTTGGCGAACACGAACCATGCCGTCTACGCCGATACCAAAAATTTTTAACGAAAAATAAAAGGAAACCCAACAAGAAGAAAAAACAAATATACCTTCAACAAATCAAGCGTTAAAATGCATATAACACACCACTATCAAAAATAATCAACCCAAGAAATAACCACAGACCAACGATTTTTACCATAAAAGCGGAGCATAACGAAACACGTGCTTGCTCAAGGATGGTTAATACCGTACTCGATTAAAGAGTTATGTACTTTATTATAAAAACCTTGGATGTCGTTTAAATTATAACCATTATTAAGACCTATTTTTATTATTCCCAAGAGTTCGTGTTTGTAGTTGTTATCATCAAGAGGCACATTAAAGAGTCTATTGAAGAAGAATCTAAATACTGCTTCCTTATGCTGAAGGCAAGTAATAGATTTTTTGGAGATTATGGAGTCTGTGGTGGTAGGTTTACAGTAAATGTTAAAATCGAGTTTATTTTTGTTAAGGTTTCTGGAAATTTGAAGATCTAAAAAATTTTGTGAAAATTGTTTTTCTATTTCTAAAGTGAATTGAAGATTGCTGATATTATTGAAAAGGTTGAACAGAGCTAAAAGTTTGGCATTGTTGCCTTTGTAGATAATCAGTATGTCATCAACATAACGTCCATAAAAGGAAATGTCTGAAGTGAAAAGGTTGTATTTATCGGAGAAGTTTTTTTTTTCTAATTGATTAACAAAAATGTCAGCCATGATGCCAGAAATTGGTGAGCCCATGGGCAAGCCTGGTAAAAATGTTTATAGAATATGAAGAAATTTTGTTCTATTACTAATTTGAGGGTATCAATAAAAGTGTTAACTTCAATGAAGCTAATGTTAAATGTGTTAGGATTTTTTAAAAGAAACTGTTTGATGATATCTACTGTAATATTTGTGGGTATGTTGGAATATAAATTTTTGATGTCGAATGATATAAGTTTGTGTTCTTTAGTGAAGTGAATGTTTTTAAGTTTATCTATGAGTTGGAGTAAATTTTGTATGTTATATTGAAACTGATTGTAAAAGGTTTTCTGAAGGAATATTTGAAGTTCTTTGGCAATCATGCTGGCAGGTGTGTTGATCACCTTGTTGTTGTTGTTGTTGTTCAACCTTATGCAATTTGATAAGACTTTTTAAAGTGGGAATAAATGGGTTCATTACAATAGATTTAAATGGGTTAATATCAAATTTTTTTAAACATTCTATATTATCTTTAATGTGCTTCCTGAGTGTGTTGTTGTAATATGTAGTAAGGTTCTTTTTAATTTCAATAATGTTGTTTTCTTTAAAAAAGTTTTCAGTTTTTTCTATGTAATCATTGTCGTTTAAAATGACGTATCCTGGTGCAGGATACCCATGTCACCCATGGTGATGATAAGTTTGTTGTCTTTAATTTTTTGTCTGAAGGACTTAAGGTTTTGTCTGATTGAGCGGAGTGTAAAGGAGTTGCCGTGCTCGGACTTAACATTTTTTATGATATCGTGGTTGTCATGAAAAATAGATCTTATGCTAGTGTTGTAAGATAATTGTGCTTCTATTTTAGTAGCGAGCTCAACCGGGCTGGCGTCCTCAGGTAATGAAAACTTGTGATTAACCTTAGGATATTTAACCAATAAAATATCGTCATTTACATAATCCGGGCTTTTGAGACCCGTTATATAAAATCACGTGTAGTCAAAACAGAAACAAAGTTATTGAAGCAAAACTTTATTTATTTATACGTATGTACGTTACAAACGTGAGGTTAAATATGAAAGTCAACATTATTGTTAAAAAAACATTATTGTTTATTGGTTTTAGGGATTAGAGAAGCATTTAGTGCACATTCTAATACTATGCTCATTACAGATATTATTTTTACAAGTAATACATATCATTGTGCTTTTACGATCAATACTTGCGGGACATACTGAGCATCTTTTTCTCTTAATTGTTGCACTTGTGTGAGCGGCTGACGGACCACATATATCAATAAATCTGCTCATACACTCCCGGACAGTACGCCGTAGGTTAGGGTTAGTAGATCTTCTCTGCATATGTGGTATCACTAGTTCCTTCGCTAAATCTTTCAAAAACATTCTGCGTTTGTGAGTCACTCCTATGTTGTAGTTTGGATGTTCCTTCGTAAAGACTATATATGCATTGAGTGCTGCAACATCAATGATGTTGAAGAAAAATGTCATGGGCCATCGTTTACTTTGCCTCTTGCACGTGTATGTCGACACCATTTGATCCATGATGTCAACACCGCCCTTTGTTTTATTATAATGAGAGATGATTTCAGGCTTCCTCTTAGCGTCGTCATTGATAGATGCGTCGTGGTGCATGGTGCTTAGTAAAATTACGCATTTGTTCTTTTTACGTGCGTAACTTACCATGGATACGTTATTTTGAAAACAAAACAATGAAGAGTAGACTACACGATCTTTTGAGGCTTTCATTTCTTTCGGAATGTCACGCTTATTCTGACGTAGTGTACCCACAACAGTAATATTTTTATCCAACAGATAAGTTGCTAGCGGAACACTAGTGAAGAAATTGTCTATCGTGAGATTGCGACCAGAATTATGAATGCCACGCACAAGAGTTTGTACTACTTCAAGCCCCAGGTTTTTATGTGGAGGTTCTCCGGGCTGGCGACCAACATAAACTAAACCATCCAAAGCATAACCAGACGTAGATTCACACATCCAAAATATTTTAAGTCCATATTTTGCCGGTTTACTTGGCATATATTGAACGAATGTGCATCTACCTCTAAACCCAACGAGTTGTTCATCAATAGTTACATTAGTATCAGGTATGACGCAGGTTTTGCATTGCTGAATGAATAAATCCCAAATGTAGGACACCATTGCTAACTTATCGGTTTCCAAACGCGCATTCCGGGTTCTCTTGTCGTCAAATCTGACGAATCTTCGTATTTCTTCAAAGCGAAATATGGACATTGTGGCTCGGTATACAGGATTGGCAAATTCATCACAAAATAATTCTCTCGCAGGAACATCCCAGCTTCTGTCAACTCCCGCATGAATAAGTAAACCACAGAATGCAAGAAATTCATCAACAGTTACATCTTTCCACGGTTTTCCTTTTGCTCCATAAACACGTTTGCCCTCTAAATTAGTACAGTTCACAATTTCTTGTACAATAACTGGAGTTACAAATAACTGAAACGCTTCTTTTGGTGTTGCAGCCATATGTTTCCTTGCTAGTCCTGGCGCACGCCGAATAATGTTGTGTGGTTGAATTTTATTTTTTGCTGGAGGTTCCAAACTCCATACCAGACCACTTGGAGCAATGTAACCGCTCGTTGAAGGCTTACCAATATCATCAACATCATCCTCTGAATTATCGTCACCATGATCAGAACTGGATCCAGAATACTCGTCAGGAACCAATTCGAAATTTCTATCTTCTGTGTCATCATTTTCTGCTTCTGACACATCACTTTCTTCAGAAGGCAGATCATCACATTCAGCTGCCCACTGCACCAATATTTCTTCATAACCGGGGTCACCAAATCTCACGCTTTTCACATTCCTTTTTGACGCCATTATCATATGTATCTCACAAGTTCACTCAATCCAACTTCTATTCCAACTGAATGAAAAACAGCTGCACCTACTTTTATACATCCAACAGTAATGCACGTTTTAACTTGCACAGACACGCACAATTCCGCGCAGCAGTGTTTGACAAATTATAATAACCCTCTACCTGTAATGAACAAGTTGAAACTTGTTCTATAGTAACTAGTAGCACACGGGCTTCGGAGGCCCGGTTTATGCAAATACGAGGTGCTAATGGAAACGATTTTTTTTTTCGATTGCTAATTACACTTGAATGTTTTTGAATCAAGTGTGTATTGAATAATTGTTTAGAGCATATCTAAATGCTCAAGCCGATTGAAATTATTTTAAGAAAATTATGGGAAAAATTAAAGAATAGACATGTCGCTTAAAAATCGACGATTTTTTTTAACAAGGTAAAAATGCCTAAAAAACACATTAAAAATAAAAAGAAAGTGCGGAAAAGTGAAAAAATGACCGAGAAATGAGTTTGAAATTTCGACGTGACGTCACAATTTGTGACGTCACGAATCTTAGTTACGACGTATTTAACACAATTGTACTGGTAACACAGGTCCGAGAAAATAATTTTTCCACATCCGCGCACACAACACGAATAAAGTAAGTAAAATTAAATCATTTTCTCAAATTTAATGAAAGAATTAACAACTTTTGAGTTTTTACCCCTGCTTCGAACCCGACCCGACATTTCGGGATTGCGCACTAGTTTAAATGTTAATTAACCTAACTCAAAATCTAATTGCTAGACAAAATTCGGAAATAAATCAGTATATTAGGTGAATCCGAATGTAACGTTTTTTTTCAACAAGACTACACTAATATTTGACCCACCCGCAGCTAAAAAATCAAATCAATCAATAAAATTAATATTTTGTACCTATTCTGTTCTTAGCGTTACCCAGGTTGCACTACGAGGAAGTAAACGGAGACGCAACCCAAAAATTAAATATATGCGCTGTAATAAAAGTTTGTCCAATTCAAATATTAATATTTGAAATTGCCAAATGTTAGTTATTTTATTGATGATCATTATCGGACAGATACTCATCACCTACATCCTCCGGATCTCGTTGCTCTGTTGGTTTTGTAGGGTGGTACATTGATGCAGCTAATTTATAAAATTCGATTGCCTTAGCACCCCTCTTCCTGCACAAGATTTAAGAAACATATATCTCGCAAGATTACCGGGCAGATGGGTCTTCGTCCGGCCTGAGGAGGACAAACTACCCTTAGCATGTCGCCACGTACTCTCTATGACGTTAGTATGCGCGCCTGTTTCGGGGTCTACAAAATTAATCGAATGGTTAACTTTTAAATGCACGTACCCCCATGTCCAAACAATCGTAGGCCCTCCAATAATCGGATGTTATGGTGGTACCTTGCCGTATCCATTTTTTGATGATGGGGAGAAGGGTATCCGCTGATCTGTCCTCTACGATTTCCATGAACACGCGCCCTGTTCCACGTTCGTATCCGCCAAAAACCCATTGGCCCTCAACGCGGTGTCCACGGTGATATTTTCGCTGGCCAAATTTACTTTCGTCAATCTCGACGACAGAGTCCGGACCGCCTAACATCTCCGGGTGCACCAGGTATTTATCCAGTACGACCTCAGTCGACAGAATGATGCCCAGTCGACCGCAGTTCTTAAGGACATATTGGTTAGCTTTGCGATAAGTGCAAGATTAGCTTTCTCCACCCACAAAAAGATGAAACCTAAAATTTGGGATATTTTCAACATAGACTGTGCAAAAAATGTATCGGTTTGAAACGATACAGTCGTACCACNGCAGTGTTTGACAAATTATAATAACCCTCAACCTGTAATGAACAAGTTCAAACTTGTTCTATAGTAACTAGTAGCACACGGGCTTCGGAGGCCCGGTTTATGCAAATACGAGGTGCTAATGGAAACGATTTTTTTTTTCGATTGCTAATTACACTTGAATGTTTTTGAATCAAGTGTGTATTGAATAATTGTTTAGAGCATATCTAAATGCTCAAGCCGATTGAAATTATTTTAAGAAAATTATGGGAAAAATTGAAGAATAGACATGTCGCTTAAAAATCGACGATTTTTTTTAACAAGGTAAAAATGCCTAAAAAACACATTAAAAATAAAAAGAAAGTGCGGAAAAGTGAAAAAATGACCGAGAAATGAGTTTGAAATTTCGACGTGACGTCACAATTTGTGACGTCACGAATCTTAGTTACGACGTATTTAACACAATTGTACTGGTAACACAGGTCCGAGAAAATAATTTTTCCACATCCGCGCACACAACACGAATAAAGTAAGTAAAAATTAAATCATTTTCTCAAATTTAATGAAAGAATTAACAACTTTTGAGTTTTTACCCCTGCTTCGAACCCGACCCGACATTTCGGGATTGCGTACTAGTTTAAATGTTAATTAACTTAACTCAAAATCTAATTGCTAGACAAAATTCGGAAATAAATCAGTATATTAGGTGGATCCGAATGTAACGTTTTTTTTCAACAAGACTACACCAATATTTGACCCACCCGCAGCTAAAAAATCAAATCTATCAATAAAATTAATATTTTGTACCTATTCTGTTCTTAGCGTTACCCAGGTTGCACTACGAGGAAGTGAACGGAGACGCAACCCAAAAATTAAATATATGCACTGTAATAAAAATTTGTCCAATTCAAATATTAATATTTGAAATTGCCAAATGTTAGTTATTTTATTGATGATCATTATCGGACAGATACTCATCACCTACATCCTCCGGATCTCGTTGCTCTGTTGGTTTTGTAGGGTGGTACATTGANGAATTTGAGATCCCGACATATAAGCAACTGATTGCGTTTCTAGAAAAGAATGCAAAAGCTTTAGAGACAGTACCTTTAACATCAAATGATAAAACTTCCCAGAGCCGTTCAAAAAAAATATAAGCAATAAATATGTAAATTTAAAAATTGAACAAGGATCTTCCAATTCTGTCAATTTCCAATATCTTTCATACAAAGAAAATCATCCTATTTATCGATGTCATTTATTTCGATGTCATTTTAGTTTAAGTAAAAGGCATACAACACATCAATGTAAATCTACACATCAATGTCACACATGCAAACAGCATTACCATACTTTATTACACCTTAAACCTTCAAGCACACCTAGTATTCATGTTGGAACGTCCTACAATGAAAATCAATATTCTATTGAGGAGGATAAACACAACATTCTCTTACCTATCGCTACTTTAAACATTAAAGATCAAAGAAAATACTCGAAGATTCTTCCCGTGAATAAAGTTGGTTTTATGTGACCTTTCTTTAGTCCATTGGAGTTACGCAGATGATACCAAGTTGATTTTTCTTCAGGAAAAAAAAGATATTTGGTCGGATCGTCCCAATGAGGTAGATGTTACTAATTTTCAACAAGAAAGTCGTCTCGGAAAGAAGTCCGTACCAGAAGGGTAAGGTTCCCGAAGAGATTTCGGATCAAAATATTTTCCCCCAGGAATAAAAGTTATTGAAAATTGCTCTCCGTAATAAAAACCTGGATAAAGAAACCAAAGAAATAAAAAAATTGAAGAATAGTTGTAGGATTTTTTTTTGTAGTTCTAGGATAGTTGAGATGAATGAATAGGTGAAAGGGTGGCTGAATGGTTGAAAGGTGAAGGATGAAAGTGAAAGGGTGTAAGAATTAATAAAGGAAACCTTAGAAAACTTACCTCAGGTGGTCGAGGTTTTAGACCAGAGTAAAATGTAGAAAATAATAAGAAATACGCTTAAATCCGGATAATCCGTAAAAGAAAATCACTTTTCCCACGGTTATACTTAAGTGATAAAATGTAAATAAAAATTTAAAAAAATAGGAATTTATGCAACTCAAAATACTCTAAGATAAGACAAGTCACAAACATTAAACAAATAAAACATACATACATTTTTGGAATGTAACAATGTTTTCTACGAAACAACTCAACAAGTTTTCAAATATTCGATAATTTGACGTAAGTTTTTAATTATAACCAGACATGTAGTTTATTTTTTAAGAATACATACTTCTGAAGGTGCCTTAAAAGGGCGAAACCGGTCAAGGCGCAATTAGCAATAAATAAAGTCCATTGTTTAAGTGCACGTTAGTATATCTTTATTCCAAATTACAACACAATGGTCAGCAAGGAAAATCAAGCCATATTGAATATTTGTCTTTATTAAGATCAAGTCGGAACGTCATCGAAAAGAACCGTTTAATACTATTATGGATACTCCGAAGAGAAAACGTGGTAAGTTATGCGTAGAAGAGAAAGTAAGAATTTTAAAATATTTTCAGGACCCACCAGGAAGAACATCCAACATCAACAGTAAATAGCGTACAATTTACTGTAAAAGCCGCAGGTAACTATATTGTATATCGCTTCGTGCTTCCAATTCAATTTGCGATTGGGGTAGGACTAAGAGGAATAAATTTTATTCATTTCATCATCAAATTATTCATTTAACATTTCAATGGGATTAACCCAAAATGGATAATATAATATTTAGAAATCATATCATACTCCAATTGCAAATGTAATTGATAGCACGGTATTACAATAAATAATTATTTTGCTGCATTTTTGTAAATGTGTCGGAGAGGACCGTTTATAATATTTGAAGGGAAGTCGACGAAAATGGTCACGTTTTACCCTCGATGAAATACCATAGAGCAATGCAGGGAGTCTTGCACAAAATTTGTGAGGACCAAAAAGGTATTATTCGTAGAATAATTCATTCTTACTTTTTTAGGAACATATGTCCAACGGTAAATTCGACACCACAGAAATTCGTAGCAGATATTGAAAGTAACGAAGATTTGCCGACTCTTAAAATGCATTTTTGTTAAAAGAACCTCTTTAAGTACGCTATTGCATGAAATGAATTTTAGGTAAGTGTTTTAAAATCTGCAGTAAATAAAAATCTAATACATTTCTTATAGGTATGTTAAAAGGGGAAAAATGCAATAATGGTGGAGAAAGATGAAATTATTTCTTGGCGGCGACATTACCTTCAACAAATACGCGACTTTCGACAAGAAGGAAGACCGATATATAACATGGACGAAACTTGGATTAACGCAGGACACACTGTGGGTAAGGTTCGGACAGATATGTCAGTTAATTCGGCCAGACAAGCTTTTGTAGATGGTTCGTCCACAGGTTTAAGGAGTCCACCCGGGAAAGGAAAACGGCTAATTATCGTCTATATCGGAAGTGAAGAGGGATTTGTTGAAGATGGACAGTTGGTCTTCCGATCGAAAAAATCTGGAGATTATCACGATTGAAATGAATTCAACGCATTTTGAAGAATGGTTTGTCAGCATATTTGCGAAGTTGAAGGAGAATGCGGTAATTGTAATGGACAATGCCCCATATCACAGCATGTTTCGTACGAAGAAAACACCTTGAAAAGTGATCTAGTACGTCTTGTTAAAGAAAACGCAACGTCAACTTCGTATGTAGTAGATGAATTAGTAAAAAATAGTTCATGCTTCGTTTTGCTATTGCCTCCGTATCACTGTGAGTTAAACCCAATAGAGCTCATATGGGCTCAAATAAAAGGATATGCTGCTCGCGCTAATAATACTTTTAAAATTTCAGATGTTTTGAAATTGTTCCATGAGGCATTAACCCACGTCAGTACAGAAGATTGGAAGAAGTCGATTGAACATGTAAAGAAAAAGGAAGAAGAAATGTGGATGATGGATAGTATGTATGGTAGCAATATACAACCCTTGATAATTCATTTGGAAGAAGAAGGTGATGATGATGACGAAGGTGCATATTAGTAATTGTTGTTTTTTTTAAATAAATATCAGTGTTATTAGATTGACAATAGAGTTGTTTAACTCTTGTATTTATATCAATGTTTAAGTGTGATTTGTTTAAGAGTTTTTAGATTATTGATAAATGTTTTTAATTGGTTTATTTTTAATTTAAGGAGGATAATAGTGTCTTATCATTATAACATATACATAATAATACTTCCATTTTCCAAAGTAATATTAAAAGAAATGTAAGTATTTGTAAATATTATAGCTTTCAGTCATATATATAAATATAAAACACCTCTTCTCAGTGGTAATTTGTTTTATTTTTTATAAAATAATGTTTTAATTTTATTAAAAAAAAATGTTTTAATTTTATAAAAAATAAAACAAATTACCACTGAGAAGAAGTGTTTTATATATATGACTGAAAAATTTGAATCTCGGTAAAACAAAAATTTCTATATTAAACTGTGCCTTATAGACCCTGCTGGGAGTAGGCGGTTCATAACGAAGGTTACATAACCGAGCAGTCCCTTTTTTTAAGAACCTGTCACGGTGATTTATCAGTGCACAAATTAAACGGTACCACTTTAGAAAGAAGAAAAAAAAATTATTATATAAACAAAACAATATTTTTTTAAAATATTTAGCGGGGAAGGTGTAAGTTATGACTAATAGTAAATGTTGTTATTAATATTAAGTAGGTTAGGAGTAATAAGGCTATTTAATAACGTTAGTACAACAAACATAACAATGTTTGTTAGCGGTATGTCTAGTATAAGTATAGTGCACCTAAGTTGTACCTACTTATATCACGGTACATTTATTCAAATAAAAAATAATAAGTTAAAGCCTGATACTGTTTTCTTTTATAATGATGCAAAAAAGGGTGTTGACTTACCGAACCAAATGTTTTCGTATTATAGTTTACGAAAATCCGTGAAATGGTACAGAAAAATTATCATACAGTTAATATGCGGAACTATTAGATAAATTTAAGAAAGTTTCTATATTTGTTGAATTCTGTTATGTCATTTAATAGCAAATCATTATCATTTTTATTATTAATATGTATAAAATATTACTCGTAGAGGTCCAGTTCTCTGGATTTTTTAATTTTCTTGAGAAGTTTGGCGTTTTCTAAAGAAGATTTATGGTTGTTATTCTTTAAATGCTTAAAAACGGTGGAAGACTCTTTGGTAAAGTGTCCTTTGATTCTGGTTTTAAGGCTTCTACCAGTTTGGCCTATGTAAAAATGTTTACATTCATTACATCTTAATTCGTAAACTCCATTAAGTTCTAACTGGTTAAGTTTATGCTTGTTATTAGTAATTAACTGACCTAGTTTGTTATTGGAGGTAAAAGCTGGTGTGAGATTGTGTTTGGAAGGATTTTTCTTAAATGTAACTGTAATCCAGGATTACATGGAATTGAAATGTATTTAGGTGGTGTTTTGTAATGAGGATATAGCAGTTTTGAATACAGCCGATAAAAACCGGGTTCAAAAAAAAGGTGCTGGTTTCAAATAATTTTCTTTGAAATAAAAACAAGTTTGAAAATTAAAAAAGTTGTATAATTACCTAATCCTAATTAACAAATCCTAATCTAACCCTCTTCGTTACGACACAAAATGAATTTAATTTTCGGTTGGTGGTAAACGTGATTATCGGTCGACAGTTGAATTTTTTCTATGAAAAGTGTGCACGATGTCGTGCGTACTTGACAAAATATTTTACCCCTTCGCTAGTGATATTTGGGTTTGCATAAACATCCCACCCACCAAAAAATATTAACAATAATGTATATTTTTTTACAACAATAAAATACGAAGGATCAAAAAATGTTAATATAATGAATTAACAAAAACAATGAGAGACGAAACACAAGTAAGTCGATAATTTAATCGATTGGTAAAATACAAATTTTCGCCACGGGGCGCTGCAAACAACCGTTAACGGTTTTTACATCAACAACGCGCACATTTCAGAGTTGCACCTTCACCGAGCCGTTCAGGGTCGGTGATGTAAGGTGTGACAATATTTCCGACAGTACTTCGGGAACGCGCAAGATATGTGGAGATATCATCATCATCATCACGATCTCCAGATATTTTATAAAACGCAACTTGATCTTTGTAACAAGCTGCAATCTTCTCAACACCTTTCTCAACCTCTATCGTATGATTCATCCTGAGATGTGACTCCAAAGCCATATGATTCGTGAAAGAAATTCCACACAAATCGCATAGGTTTGATCTATTATCACCCGGTAGCGGTTGAGGAAGATGTTTAGAAGGTTGCAAAATTGACCTTACCGCCGGCGTCGATGATATAGATGGTAGTACATCGATGGTGGGTTTCGCTTTCGAACAATTTGCCATTGCTGGAGGTGGCGCTTGACGCTGAGGACCAACTTCTAAACCATTATCACCCGACAGCGGTTGAGGAAGACGTTTAGAAGGTTGCAAAATTGACCTCACCGCCGATGATGTAGATGGTGGTACATCGATGGCGGGTTTCACTTTAGAATAATTTGCCATTGCTGGAGGTGGCGCTTGACGCTGAGGACCAACTTCTAAACCATGCACTAATCTTTTATGTCTTTGAAAATTGTCGAATCTCGAAAAAGATTTATCGCATAAAGAACACTCGTTCCTAGCGTTATTAGTATGCGAATGTCGCGTGTGCCGATCGAGACTCCTTTTGGCGCTGAATGACTTTTGACACTTATCACACGCGAACATCTTCAAAGAGATTTGAAATTGAGAGTGTCANATGTGTGAAATTGATTTTTAAATCTTGGAATGATGTAGAATCGAAATCACATATACTCTCTTTTCTACGTGAAGATTGGGAACAATTGATTAATGTATTTAAAATCATTCGTTTTAAAATGAACTTTTCTGACCAAATTATACCGTTAGCGGATGGAATTCTTAGAGTTACTGCAGACGTTGAGAATTGTGTGTGCATCACATATGAAGATATGGACCCTGAAAATAATTATTTTATTCCGATTATATTGACCTTGATGGAAGTTCAAGAAATTTTATCTAAGGAATTTTTAATTTCATACAAATGAAAAGTATTAGACAATTTGCATTTTAATGATTACATTGATTTTATTATGAACACTAAATTTTCGAAGGATAAGTTAAAATTAATTCGAGAATTTTGCTTGTAAAATTTATCTGAAATAAATTATTACTTAATGGAATATATTGATATGATTTCATGAGTTTAAACTTACTACTATTAAGAATGTTGACGAATACTTGCGTTAAAAAATTATATTTATTTTAATTTAAACAAGTTTAAACATGTTGAAACAAGTGTTGGTGAGGTTCAATGAACTTTACTTAACTTTGGTGATTTAATAATAAAAACTGCTTAATTTGCATTTTAGATAACAATAACACCTGCGTGCGAATTACATCATCCTTTTAGAAACTTCTATTACACAAAAATTGCTTAATTTGCATTTTAGATAACAATAACACCTGACGAAAAAATCAATTTTTGAGCTTCAACCAGACACTCTATACCCGATTAAGTGCGCGAAACGGCTTAAAAAGTGTTCTTGGCCGTCCGTGGTACTTGAACTGGAGGCTGGATTTGTAATTTATTTACCAAGACGCATCGCTGAAGATATTACCGACGAAGAAATTAGCGAACTTAGCAAAATGTCTATAATTTATAAGGGTGCAAAAGACATTGGTAAAACACACCTGTATATTTATTGGATTTCGTCAAGAAGCCTGAAGCATAAAAACTTTCCGACCGATGACCCTGATGTTCATCTGTATTAATATAAATGTAATTGTATTATAAAAGTTATATATACTTAAAAATTAAATAATAATAAATGAATTTCTTAAACCCATCATTTTGTTGTTTCTATTTCACCTTACAGCCATCAATTCAATCCGCTTAAATTCAATTAAATAAGTAAGTTTTATATATTTCTTAAACACGCATCTTTTTTGTTTGTATTTCCGTTCAACTGCAAGGCTTTTAATATTAAATTGAAAAGGTTTCGGTGGTTCAGTGGTTTATTGTCTTTAAAGTATTTACATTTCACCTTGCAGCTATCGGTTCAATTCGCGTAAAATTAAATTAAATAAGTCTGTATTATATAGTTCGTTAATTTACATCACCACTGAGCCGCCGAAACCTTTTCCTTCTTTTATTTAAATGTATTTTTTTTTCACGTACATCATTTTTGTTAATGAAAATGCATTAAAACAATTTTATAATTTGTATTATTTTTTTACTTTCTTAATATTAATTATATATATAGCATTTCATTTAGGTCAATTATTCCATTGCTCAGCATTATTGCAGCCGCGCCGCGTCGATTGTCGTAATTTGACACTTCCGCCCGGCGAGGAAAGCATTGTATCGCGTAACTCATAATCAGTTTTACTTTAAAAACCGAACGTGTCAAACCAAAGAAAAAATTTATTCGAAGTTGAGTTTGATTTACCCGTCAAACGTAAACCGCGCGCAATGTCTCATAGTCGTCTCTGTGTTTTTTTTTCTTTTTTTTTCAGTCTTTGTGAGTTTAAACCAAAGACAAAATTTGTTCGAAGTTGAGTTGGATTTACCTCTTTTACCCTATTTATTGTTCATGGAAAACGTCTTACGAGCTGCGCATGGTCGTCACCTTCCGTTGTGGTGGAGTTAGAAGCGGGGGGGGCTTTTAACGTTTTTACTTACCCTGTTCGCTAAGGGTATTATCGATCAAGAAGGTTACAAGATCAATGTATCGTGCATAATAATAATAAAGGATGTTGGTAAACCGAAGCCCGCTCATATAATTGAATTTGTAAAAAAAGTACCATAACATTAAGGTTTTTATTATTTTACTGTTATCTATTTACCCTTTTATTGGGTTGATTGGGGGAAATTCAATTGTGTTAAATTGTGTTATTATTATTTTCCGGAATATTCCCAAGTTCCTGCGCACGCACATTCAAGAGTTGTGAGGCGCGCCTTTATGCGTTCAACGCGCCATCTTTCAGAAACGCCGATTCTAGACAGGAAGTTGTTGCACCTCCGCACCTCCGTGATATCATTCGCCCAATGTAAAAGGATAGGGAGGAGGGGTGTCAACCAAAGGCTTGGGGGAAAAAATAGGTTGGTAACTAGACCTGATGACTTTAAAAAAAAAAGTAACAGTCTACCTGGTTGGTAGTGGTTTAGTTCCACTACCAAGCACTAGGTGGCGCGTTACTTTTTTAAAAAAGTCACTAGATCTAGTTACTTTTCCAATACCAACCTATTTTTTTTCACCTCAACCTTAGGCTGGTACCCTTCCCTATCCTTTTACATTGGGTTGATGACGTCACGGAGGTGAGGAGGTGCAAATTCCTATCTAGAATCGGCGTTTCTATACTACTACCGTTGTTAGACATAGTAAATGTAAGTTTTCAAAATTTTAGTATTTCTTAAGAAAATGTGTCCATAAATGAAATGATTGTAAGATATTACGATCACCACTCACAACTTACTAAAAGTTCATAAAGGGTAAGCCAATACGATATGGTCACAAACTCTGGCCACTTTGTGGTGAAGATGGATATTTCTATATCTTTTTCATATCCGCGGTTTATAAGAATGATTTTTTTTCTCGAAAACCGTTAGGGGTTCAAATTCTACCACATAATAGAACTGTGTTCTATTATGTGGTAGAATTTGGTTTAATTCGGAGGTGCCCATCAGGGCGAAAACATCCCTTTTTCGGGGGTGGGGGTTGAAAAAATTTTTTTTTACCAAGTGGGGTTGTAAGCTGTTTTTCAGGGTAACAGTGACCTGTGTGTGAATTTGGTAACCCAAATCGTATTGGTTACGGAGTTATTAGTTTATGGCTGGGATTTATGGATAACTTCACACCAGTTAATGATGATAAAGTTCGAAGATCAGGATGTATAAATTTATGATGTGTTTCTTCAATTATTAGTTGTGTTAATCGACAATTTTTCGGTAATAATAATTGATGTTTATGCTCGAATGGTATTTCAGCACAACGTAATCGACCATCCACCCTGAGCAACCCATCTCTATCCATGAACGGAGCGAGCTGCCGATAATAAATTTGAGAAAATTTGTTTAGCAATTCGTCTAGTATATTGGTAGATACATCTGTGGTACAATTTATTATTGCTCGTTTCTCTTTATTAACCTCTTTATCAGATTTGTTAAGTTGTTGGTTTGGCCAATTATTGTATTGTTGGGAAAGCCATTCAGGACCGTTCCACTAAATATTAGCATTTAAAAGTTGATTTGGATACAGACCACGAGAAGCACAGTCTGCTGGATTCTGCGATGACGGAACATATTTCCAAGATGAAGTTGGTAATATGTTTTGAATGTGTGTTACGCGGTTAGCAACAAATACCTTCCATTTATGAGGAGAGGATTTGATCCAGGATAATACAACCTGAGAATCCGACCAAGCGGTTATGGAATCGATTGTAATTACAGACGCTATGGTGTTTTTAATGATTAATAGGAAATCAACAAGAAGCGTAGCTCCGCATAATTCCAATCTGGGTATAGAAATAGTTTTCAATGGGGCAATGCGGGACTTTCCACCGATGAAATAAGTTTTAATGAGTTCATCTTGATTTTGATAACGTAAGTAAGCTGCAGTAGCATATCCCACCTCAGAGGCGTCACAAAAGAGGTGAAGCTCACAAGTTTTATAATCACTAGATGACATGAAGCGAGGTATTTCGAGATTTGATAATAAAGTTAATTGTTGCTTAAAGTTTTCCCATTGTGTTACCACGTGATGAGGTGGAATATCATCCCAATCACAATGAACTTGCCAAAGTTGTTGAATAAAATGCTTAGCTTTGAATGTACGTGGTGCTAAAAATCCCAATGGATCATAAATCCGAGCAATATCTGAAAGAATACTATGTTTTGTCGAATGATTTGAACGAGGTAAATATTGATATTTAAAGTTGTCCGTGATTACACACCAATGTGATCCCAGAATTTTAACAGTAATTGAGTCTTCATAGTCTAAAGACAGTAATGATTGCAAATCAGTTTGAAATATGGTTTCCAAAAGGTGTGAACAATTACTTGCCCACTTGCCGAGCTCAAACCCCCCTTTCCGTAGAATAGCAATTAGATCTTCCTTTAATGTAAGTATATCTTTGATTGATGTTGCACCGGTGACAATATCATCAACATAGACATTAAAAAAAACCTATACACTAACGTGCCTATAGATAAGTCCTTGAAAATTATTGAGAAACACCTTAAACGTCACATGAATGATTTTGATGGTGTTGAGAATGAGAACATAAAAGACCTTTGCTCCATCATCAGATTCATATGTAAACAAAATTTTTTCCTTTCTAACAATAAATTTTTCACTATGACTAATGGCTTGCCTATGGGTTCTCCGATTTCGGGTATCATCGCCGATATTTTTGTTAATAATCTAGAAAATAAATTGGTCTCATACAAATACTCCATTTTCACTAAAGATATTAAATTCTATGAAAGGTATGTTGATGACATTATTATTATTTACACGGGGAATCCGGCTAAGCTTAAAGCTTTGTTCAACGTTTTCAACACCATCAATAATCTAGAATTCACCATGGAAAAGGAAAACAATAACCGTATAAATTTTGTGGATCTTACTCTCATAAAGAATTACAAGGATGGTTTTATCAATTTCGACATTTACAGGAAACCAACAAATACTGATTGTATCATCCCCGAGAACTCTTACAATTGTACTGCTCATAAAAAAGCTGCATTTAATTTTTTGTTCAACAGATTAACTACAACACCCCCTTAATAAAAATAACTTTCAAACAGAACTTAACAATATAATAAAAATAGGAATTAATAACGGCTATAACATCACCTTTTTGCAAGATATTAACAGTATACATAATAATAATATTAGAAAATTAGTTTACCCAAATTTCCAAACCAAAAAACAATACTTAACATTAACTTATAGCCATAACTTGAACAAACTTAACAAAAATATTAGAAAACTTAACATCATCCCAGCGTTCTTGATGTCATTCTCTATGAGGAATATTTCATAAACAAATATAAAAAGGATAATGAAGAAAACCTACTCAACGACATTTCCGACTTTAACAACCAGAGATTTTTTTCTAAAAATGTTATCATATCCATTTTTATTTTAAATAGTCAGGTTCATTTCAAGAACTGCATTTCATATTTTCCCGCTTTCTTAACGTTCAACTATCCTTAACCTACAACTTGTTTCAATTACGCATCCTCAGTCCGCTCAAAGATGTCGAAACGAAGAGTGTGACTTAAGATAGATTTTCCGTTTAATAATTTTATATCTTTTGCAATTACGTTAATGAATGCAAATGATCCCTCATGAATTCGACGTATTTCTTGTGAAGTATATCATCTCTCAACAAACGTTTCTCCAATAATTTAAATCGTTTCAGAGCAATATCATATGAATTTCCAAGAATAGGTTCTTTGGTTCTAAACGGGAATGATACAATAAATCTGCCATTAATATCACGACGATAATTATTTTTGTAATGAGTTTCACATTTTGCCTCTTCAATTGACATCATCTTGATTTCAGAAGTAGATTCCAATTCCCAAAAGCGTTGCATTGATAAATGTAATGAGTCATCAATTGTTAAGATAGATGTTGATAAAGACGTGGATGGTAATAATTTGGATTTTCCCATCACTATCCACCCGAACACTGAATACACAGCCACAGGATCGTCCTGACCACCACAGACACGACCACCAGTAAACAATTGATGTACCAATTCTGCTCCCAATAATATATCCACTTCTTCGGAAGGAGAATGATGTTCGGGATGGAATTGGAGGCATTTAAGATAATCGTAGGATTGTATAATAGAAGATAATGAAGGTTGAGCGGAACATATTGAAGATGTAACAATAGCTTTCAGATTAAACGATAAGTTTCCTGAATGGCAAGGTTGAATGATGCAATTAACACTTTCTTTGTTACAGATGGACGTCATCGAGTTTAAACCCTGTATTTCTAACGAAGAATTATTTTGTCGTGGCAAACGAAGTCGTTGCAGTAGCTTGGTGGTAATAAAATTTGACGTGCTTCCAGAGTCAATCAATGCACGTGCCAAATGAAGTTGACCAAATTGATCATAAATATGAATAAAGGCGATGTAAGATAACTCGACGATTTTCTGGTTTTGAATGATTATTTATATCTAATGTTGTACCCACATGAGTAGAAGGAATTGGCTGTTTAGGTCCAAAATGAAGTAATGTATGATGGCGTTGCTTGCATGAATGACAACAGTGATTTGAAAAGCAATTGTAAGTGGTATGACCTTTGCTTAAACAATTTCGACACAAATTGTTATCTCCTGCTATCACTAATCTTTCAGCTGGCGATTTAACATGAAATTGAGCACATCGGTAGACCTGATGTGATTCTGAGCATATCGGACATTTGACGGCCGATTTCGAATCATCCACCTTTAAATCAATTGCTTTTTCACGAGCCATAGTAGATGTCGACAATTTCGATCGATTTATTGAGCGCTTCTCCGACGAAGTGAATGATACAGAATCTAGAGCCTTAGATTGTTGTTCCAAAAAATGCAATAATTGTTCAAACATCGGAATATCGAAAGTGGTATGTTCTGACTCGAATTTAATTTTACATGATGTATTTAACTTCTGAAGTAATATGTTAAATAAAAGAAAATTCCATTGGTCAACTGGAAAACCCAGAGTTCGGAAGCCCTGTACATTTTCTTTAAAGGTATCTAGGTATGAGAAGACGGAACGATTTAGATGTTTCTTCATGGATCGGTTTTAAAGCGACAATGTCCCAATGAGAAAATACGGAAAAGAAAATTCCAAGGGGAATAAATTCTCAATGGAGAACTGAAGAAAAAAATTTTGAAAATAAAATATTTAATTAAAGTTCCAAGAGGAACAAATTCTTAAAGAAGAATTGCGAAAAAATTTAGAAAATAAATATTTAATTAAAGTTCCAAGGGGAACAAATTCTTAAAGAAGAATTGCGGAAAAATTTGCAAAGTTGTAAGGAAATTTTAAGTTCAAGAGAACAATAAGGTTGCATGTAACGTCGCACATGTGACGGAACAAGAAAAATTGTTGACCATGTTGTGCCAGATGGCCACGCCGAAAATTAAAGAAACCCTCTCCAAAATATGAGAAACGTAATTTTAGAAAATAAGAAAAGTAAAAAATATTCAATTAAAGTTCCAGGGGGAACAAATTCTTAAAGAAGAATTGAGAAAAATTTGAAAAATAAATATATATCCGGGTCGAAGGACCAAATGAATACAGCCGATAAAAACCGGGTTCAAAAAAAAAAAAAAAANTGGATCGGTTTTAAAGCGACAATGTCCCAATGAGAAAATACGGAAAAGAAAATTCCAAGGGGAATAAATTCTCAATGGAGAACTGAAGAAAAAAATTTTGAAAATAAAATATTTAATTAAAGTTCCAAGAGGAACAAATTCTTAAAGAAGAATTGCGAAAAAATTTAGAAAATAAATATTTAATTAAAGTTCCAAGGGGAACAAATTCTTAAAGAAGAATTGCGGAAAAATTTGCAAAGTTGTAAGGAAATTTTAAGTTCAAGAGAACAATAAGGTTGCATGTAACGTCGCACATGTGACGGAACAAGAAAAATTGTTGACCATGTTGTGCCAGATGGCCACGCCGAAAATTAAAGAAACCCTCTCCAAAATATGAGAAACGTAATTTTAGAAAATAAGAAAAGTAAAAAATATTCAATTAAAGTTCCAGGGGGAACAAATTCTTAAAGAAGAATTGAGAAAAATTTGAAAAATAAATATATATCCGGGTCGAAGGACCAAATGAATACAGCCGATAAAAACCGGGTTAAAAAAAAAAAAAAAAATCGGTCTACAGTTGAATTTTCTCATGTCTCACGACATCGTGCGCACTTGACAAAACATTTTACCCCTTCGCGAGTGATATTTGGGTTGCATAAACAAGTTTATTAATGTTATTGTTGTGAACACTATTATAAATCTTCTGTATGTCTTTAAGTTTAAATCTGTTATTAAGGCCTATTTTTATGATGTTTTTGAGTTCTGAAATGTAATTTGGTTTGTTTAACGGAGTATTACAGAGTCGATGGAATGCAAATCTAAAACTGGCCATTTTATGTTGTGCACAGTTATATGAATCAGATGGTAAGATGCTGCGGTGAACGTATTTTTTCTAAAAATGTTAAAATCGAGAGACTCTTTATCTACATTTTTGTTGATATTCAAGTCTAAAAAGTTTAATTGTCCATCTTTTTCAAGTTCATTAGTAAACTTTAAATCGCATAGATTGTTAAGGAGGTTACTCTAACCATGTAACAAAGCAGGGTTACCGTCATAAATCACAAAGATGTCGTCAACATATCTGCAGTAGAATTTTATACCACCAGTAAAAGGTTCACGTTTTTTTGAGAAAAATTCTTTTTCGAAATGATTAACATATATGTCAGCGAGTATTTCAGAAATAGGCAAACCCATGAGCAGTCCGTCTTTCATGTAAAAGAATTTATCATCAAATAAGAAGAAGTTTTGTTTACATGTAATTTCTAATAATTTAGAAAAGCAGTTTATTTTATTGATGTTGAGTGCAAGTTCTTTACTATTGCGAATTAAATGTTCTTTGATTATTGAAATGGTGGAATTGATTGGTATGTTAGTATAGAGGTTTTTGATGTCGAAAGAGATAAGTTTATAATTTTTTAAGATTTTAAAATTTTTTTTTTCCAATAACAAACTAGGTCAGTTAATTACTAATAACAAACACAAACTTAACCAGTTAGAACTTAATGGAGTTTACGAATTAAGATGTAACGAATGTGAACATTTTTACATGGGCCAAACTGGTAGAAGCCTTAAAACCAGAATCAAAGAACACTTTATCAAAGAGTCTTCCACCTTCTTTAAACATTTAAAGAATAACAACCATAAATCTTCTTTAGAAAACGCCAAACTTTTCAAGTTCTCAAGGACCCACGCACGTGTCCTCTTAATAAAATAATTTGTGAGTATTTTTGTTTTCGCTTTTATCTTTTGCAACTCGCTTTTGAGTAGAGGATTTTATACATTATCCGTTTGAAATGTTGTTTCGTTGTAATGTGCACATGTTAACTTTCGTTTTACTCCTTAATTGACGGTAATTATTAATTAATTTCTTATATAACAGGCGAAAACAAGCGTTTGACGAAAACTGGAAAACAGACAAAGAAATAAAAATAGAAAGGGTTAGGATTAGCCCCTGGGAACCCAATATCTGCGACATCTAAATGTAACAATCCGATTTATAAATCCCTTTCTAATCCATTCCCCAATGTACCGAGGACTTCTATAACCAGCCTCATTTAGATGTATAAAGTATGTAGATGTACTTATATAAAGTCGTACTAGTTTCGGGTTACCCCATCATCAGCGACAACTATAATGAGTACAAACCATAACATAACAATCATGGAAGGTAGTAAATATATTAGAGTGATGTTAACTCGAAACATTTTTAAAATGAATTAATTATAAAATAATTTTTTTGATGTATAAAAATTAGAAGTCAAGTTAAAATATATAAATATAAATGTTTAAAAAATATTGTTAACAATTAAACGAAAAAAACTTAAATTAGCCTTAGATTAAACTTATAATGAAAATATTTAAATTTAGAGGCAGGATACACTCAATAATGGAAAACATTTTTTATATAAAAAAGAGCTAACCACGAGGAAAAGTGAAAAAATCAAAAAATATTTTGAAAAATACAGTCAATGAAGCTATAATAGGTGTAAACTGGAAATCAAATGAAAGTAAAGCATTTTGCTATCTGATGGATAAACAAAATGAAGATAAAAGATGAATTAGGAATGGCGACGTTAAAAAGTGTGGAATCTAAAGAAAAATAAAAGAAGTTTGAATCAAAGAAGTTTAAAGCTACCACATAACGCAGAATCAATGATTTTTATCAACAAAAAAAGTTTGTTACAAAAATATTTGAATTTTCACTTATAAGTTTCAATGTAAGTATTTATTTAAGTTTGTTTTTTGATTCTTTTATTTTTTATAATTAAATATTTATTTTTTATACACATTCATTCTGATTGATCTAATGAGAAAATAAAAAAAAAATTTTTGTAGTTCTGATGATGCCCGCATGGAACGGGCGAAACATATAAAATAAAAACTATAATTTTTTAAATATATTAACACTATTAAACCAGTAAAAGTGCAATATTTTACTTTAATCCTTGGAATTTAGTTATTAACTGGTTAAAGAATAGACATTAACATACAATTCAATTAAAAATAAATTTTGTATGAATTGGAGAAAAGGAAAGGATCTCCAGACTCCGTGGCTGAAATAAATACAAATTAAAAAAACATAAGTTAAATTCAAATCTATTACGTAGAAACATAAAACAATAAATTGGACTGTAACACGTTTCATCGACAAACATGAAATAAATCAGTTTTTATGCTGCAGAGAACTGACTGAACGCACAACAGGTCAAGATATATATAAATCCTTTAGCTACCAAAATCTTTCATCAATCCCTTTCTCCCCTACTTTTTACCACATCCGTTTATATTTAACATTTGTCATTATTTTGTAATATTTTAAAGTGACATTTTGCAAACTTCACGACGTTTACATAACCTTAAAATTTGTATTTCCGTCTACCATTTTGTCATTGTCGGGTCGTGTTTTAATTTGTTGAAGTTAAGTTTTTTAATTTTTTAATATTATTTATGTTATTTCTAACACGCTAATGAAATTGGAACGTTAAAATTGATACCAGGGTTGTTTATTCAGTGTGACGTAAGTTCATTTTATTATAAGATTGTTATTTCCTACAACCTAACCTAAAATATAAGATAACATGTGTTTATTAGAATTTTTGATTTTGTTCAAATTTATAGTTGATTCAGACTTTTTCGTTTTCATACTATAGATGTTCCTGAGGATG